TGGTCTCATCAGCTGTTATCCAGGGAATTAGAGACAGCTTCAGGAACCCTAAGCAACAAAGGAAGGGAAGGCCATTATGAAGTTATGAAGAGCACACTAGTGCTTAAGGAAGAGAGCTCAAATAATACCATGGGCTTCATGGGGCCACACCATAGGCAGTCTTGCAACTACAAAGTGTAGTTTGGATTTTATTACCCAGGAGGACACTGAACGTCCTTGAGGACCCCTGTGACATAATCTGACAGCCAATCAAGGATAGATTTCAGGAGATGCTTTTGAGTTCAGGTGCCAGTTAGGAAGTCACAAATGCGGTAGAAGAGGAAGAGAATCAAAGCATTTGTGTCTAGTGACTTCTCTTCCGGACATGGCATGATGCTGTCTTGGACTTTGCCTAAGTAGTCATGGCAACTGGAGCAGAATATGGTGGTAGGTCTGTTGTAATGGTAAATGGTAATGGGGCTGCTGACATTCCCTAGCAATTGGGAATCCATTCCCAAGCTTGGAATCCTTCCCCAGCTTCAAGTGATTTGGGGAGCTACTAGCATCTATAAGAAGATTAATTGAAAGTGGGACTCCATGATGAAGCTTCCATGAGATTGCCATCCATGACAGGATGTGACTTGGTGATGATGTAGCTGTTTTGGGGTCACCCACATTCCTGTAAATAATCTCTCACCTATGCTCTATAAGGAAGCCCAGTAAACTTGACTTCACCAAGCTGGACTTTGGTAAAATTGTGTTTCGGTCTGTCCTAGGTGTCCATCTTGTGTGACTGGGAGTGTAGCTGTGTCTCCCAAGGAGAAGGTAACACAATAGGCACAGATGAGCCTTCTTCACAAGGCTCCCTCTCACGCAGACAGACTGGGAGGAACTGTTCTCGTAGAGGTGCGTGGGGAGGAAGTCTTGATTCCAGGCAGTCTATCAGAAGGGCTCAGCTTGTGTATCCAATAATAAATTTGCCTTTGATTATTCCCCAAACCCTGCTTTCTCCATTCCCAATATACTTATTGAGGAAATGAACCAAGCAAGCTCCAGTAGAGTAGGTGGTTGGTGGGTTGAAAAAGATGTTGGAAGAGGGGATGTGGGCCTTCTGGTGGGGGTTGGATGTTGTCGTGGGGGTGGGGGGGGGAATGTTGTGACGGCACCTGGGCGATTCTACTGCGTATTGATCAAGCCCCATTTGCCCGTGAACCTCATAATCAGCTCCTGCTTAAGCCCTCACTTCCCCAGTAATTGACTCTCGCATATTGATTAAGATGTTGATGTGTCCCAGGATTTCTTGGTGGTGATGCAGGCACGCCTCCCGGCAGGCTGGGTTGGCAAGGCTCTCACTGGAAGGCTGTCACCGCTTGCTCCTTAATGGATAAAGCTGTCATCTGAGAGCTGGAATGTCTTGCAGGCACAAAGACGAAATTAACTGTTCAATAATGTATGGGACATGGAAAAAACTTTACCCAACAACTCGAATTGATTGCTGTAAGTGTTTTGACTGCATTCGCCTGCTTTGCATAAAGTCAGCGACTTTGGCTAGCCTGATGTTCACATACAACCATTTCTCAGCCTCCGTTAGCGTAAGAGTCAAGAGACTGGTGGCTGCCAGGAAGCAGCTGTCTGGGGGGAAGGAGGGTGGTGGGGTGCGGAGCAGGTGGGCACCACTGACACCTCTCTGGGGATCCTTGAGTGATCCCTGGTCTTTAAAGCAATGGGTTCCTGGCAGTTGGATGGGATCTTGCTAGAATGGCATCTTGGGTGAGTTTGGGGAATCACTGGGTGTGGAATTCCTGGAGCTCTGTGACCTCACTTGCTTCGGGCCCTCCTCTCCTCTCTCTGAGTTAGGCTGATCGCTTACAGAGAGCCTGTCAGTCAGAGCTGTTAGGAGGAGGGGCCCTTGGGTCACACTGCCTTCATCAGCCTGGTAAACAGCCCTTCTCATTTCGGCAGAACCCTGTTCATGATTTGGGACTCGGTTAAATGTGTGCTGAGGACCACACAGGTTCCAGAAACTGCTGAACGTTTCTCTCGGCTCTCTCCCTTTCTGACCTGGAAGAAGAAGAACATATCAAGGCAGCCTGCCTAGATGCTACATCTTTTCTGCCAAGCTCAGCCCTTTAGAAACATAACAAGATCCTTTGAACATAGCTCTGTTTTATCACAGGCTCTTTATTGAACTTCTAATCAACACAAGCAGCTGACAAAATAGGAGACTACAGAATCGGCCGTGCATTATGTATCCTCCTCCTTGTGAGTCTAAAAAAAAAATAATAACATTAAAGGAAGAGAAAATAAACAGGCTCTTTTCAAAAACAAACAAATCCCACCAAACCAAGGAAATCCTCTCACACCCAGAGGAAGGCCGGCCGCGTGCCTTGCAGACTGCAGCTTGGTCTTTGGAGCCTCATGGCGGCCGTTTCCATAAAACAAATAACCACCTCATTTTTGTGACCCACTAGGAGTGAGGTCTAAGCTGCAGGCCCACGTCCAAGGAGTCCTTCTCCATAGGCCCAGCCAACCGCAGAGATGTCCGGCCTCTTGCCTAAAAAGGGAAGCGGGACACAGTCTTTGTCCTGACCCTCTCTCTCTCAGCCCTGCTCTCATGGAATGGTCCTGGGTGTTGGTACATTGTCCTCACTTGAGGCCTCCTCCCCCTTCCTTACCTCCATCTTCCTTATTTACTTCTGTTATTCTTTAGCCAGCAATGGGATGTGTATGTGTGAGGTGCTCTACTTAATTCTCAGACACCACATAAAGAAGGAGGCACATACTTTTCTTCTATCTAGCCTGAAATTGCATCTCTAGAAGCTGTCAAGAATCAGGGCCCTGGGGCAGTACCCAGTGAATAACTCTCGCCTAGCTGACCAAAGTCACTTCTCTCTTTGTGGAGTTTGAAAGCAGATGCTTGAGCCAGGGGGTGTGACTCTTGGCCACAGGTGGGCCAGGGCAGGGTTGTGACTGCGAACCTGAGTCTTGCCACAGGATGTGGGTGCAAACCTGGTAATGAGCACTGGAAATGCTTCAGCAGGGTAGATGGGATGGATGAAGGTTAAAAGATGGGGAGGCTGTCGTCCAGATGACACAGCCCAGGAAGGAAGGGACACAAAGTAGGAGAAAATCCTTGAAACAATGCTTTAACTGGCCTTGAACTTGCAGATGAATACCTGCGGCCACAAACACCATGGAAGACTAGGTCATACTAAGCAAGATGAGATAAGGTGATGGCCCAAAGGTCTCAAAGTCTGGAAAGTCACATGGGCCACAGGCAAGAGTAGGGAGACTTGAAAGCCAGTGCACCCTAGCAGGGAGTGTCTGATACCACAAACCAGAATGGTGGGCTCTGTCCTTTGGGAATGATCACTTGCCATCATGGAAAGATGGTAAACAGGTCAGGGGAGCCTGGACGTACAATCACGAAGGCTACCTGGTGAGAGGTAACAAGGGTCAAAATAAAGACGGAGTATGGGAGAATGGGGCAATCCTAGGACCCGATCTCCACAGGCTTTGCCCGCTCCTGGGGATGCTAGAGATGCAAAGGTGGAAACTGCTGACTCCCTCTTCCTTGATTTCCAGCCCCTGGAGGCAGAAAATGAGATACAAATACGTGGCCAAAGACCGAGGAGGATGACAGGACAAGGGGAGTAACTCAACTAAGCTCAAAGGATAGAGAGACTCTCAAAGGTTTGAGTCAGAGGAACTTGTCGTCTCCAGAAATGCAAGAGAGACTTTGAGCCATATTTGCTGCACAGGGATGAGAGAAAGATTGGGAAAAAAGTAGAAGAAATTCACAAATAATGCAGTCTATTTAGACTCTAAGTACAAAATAGTTTAGGCTTTGGAATTTAGAAATAGTAGAAATTTATTTGTTTAGTTCTAGAGGCCGAAAGGTCCAAGTTAATGTACAAATGTTGGTACCAAGTGAGACCTGGCTCTCTTTAGATGATGGTGCCTTTAGTCAGTCATGACCATGGTAGAGGGGAGAGAAGGGATGGAGCTGTGAACTCACTCCCTGAAGCTCTTTGTAAGGGTACTAATTCTAGAAGTGGAAGCCTTATAGCTCATCGCCAACATTCTAACCCTTAGTACTCTTGCAGTGGAATTAAGTTTTGGAGGCACACAAATATTAGAACCACAGCAGCTTTGATCACCTGTTTGGCTTGGTAGAAAAGCCAGGTATGAGACCAACATCAGCAGCATATATGAGCACGTGGGTTTTGCAAGAGGCCACTTCAGAGTCAAGACTAAGGATGAAGGTAGAGAATTCTGGGAAGACTTCCTAAGTGTGCTAGTAGACTTTACCATGTAGACTCCTGTGGGGTGCGGTGGATAGTTGTGCCTCAGCCTTAGAGAAGAGCCATAAATTAAGTCAGAACTACAATTTATTCTCATGAGTAACTGGGGGAATTGTCCTAGATCTTAGGTGACCAATAGTCAACTCCCCATGTCGGGCTCAAGGCAATTACATTAAGTGACTAGAAATAAGAATAGAAATGATTTCTTCTGAGGACTCTGTCAGTTCTGATGTAAAAATCATTTGTGTCTCATTATGGGACACGAGTGTGCTAGACAGGCCCCAAATGACATTTGATGCTGTTTCTACAAGTGGTTATTTCAGGTAACAATTAACAGGAAATGATTATTAACTGCCTGGGTGGTCACTTTTCTAGGGGATGCTGGGCACTGAGCTTCAGTCCCCTGCAGTCTCTCATCTGTGGCTGTGGAGGGAAATGAACCACCTTGGTACCTGTCCCAGCAAATCCTTTCCCCCTTTCTCCTTCCTGCTCTCCGTTTTGCCAGTTGAATTTTAGAAAGTTAATGTAAGAGTTTTACTTCGGCGTCTCATTTACAATAAACATATGACTGTCCTCTACAATCCAGGTTAGAAATGGAAAAAAAAAGAAAGAAAGAAAGAAAGAAAAAAAAGAAGAAAAACGATGAAAGCCAAATGACATAGCACAGCGTGTGTTTGCCTTTTCCTCTTCGTGATTCTGTGTTGCTTCTTTTTTTTTTTAAGGAGAGTGCAAACACAGTCCCCCCCACTACCACAAATCATGCAGTCAAGTTTCCCGAATTTGGGGAAATTGCAGGGGTCAGCACATCAGGAGGGCAGTGGATAAGTCTCGCTCTGGGAAAACCACCTTCATGATCATGGTATCGCTCCTGCCAGGTAAGTATTCTGTACGGCTGTTTTTGAGAATGCTCCAGACAGGGTCCCCAGGTGGACTATTCACAGTGTTCCCAGCAACGTCTGCACCGTAGTCTGCATCATCCATTCTTGGTGAAAGAACTCTGCTTTGGGTCCACAGAGTGGACAGGGTGGCGAGCCGTGAGGTAGCGAGCAGGGTGCAAGCAAGGCAGGCAGGCAGGCAGGATGTGAAGCAGTTTCTGTGGACCGTGCTGCTGTGTGCCTTTCTGCCGCTTTGGCTAAGACAGTGAGCAGTGTCTGTTTGATGTCTGGTCTCTGGGAAGGAGACCCAAGAGAACATGAGCTGGGCTTGTCTGGATATCAAAGTCCAAATTAAAAATTTATTCCAGTGTTTGAAAAACTCCTGGCCAAAACCTTCATATGGACAAAAAAAAAAAAAAAAAAAAAAAAAAAAAAAGAAAGAAAGAAAGAAAGAAAGAAAGGAAAAAAAAACAGCACAAACTCTCTGGTTTCTTCAGCATCTCCAGTTGAGGACTAGAGGATTTATTTTTTAAAATAATCAACTAAAAACAAGGGCAAATAGCTCCATAAGCAGATACAGGTCAGATGGCTTCTTTGCTAAAGCGTCAATGAAAGCAGTCTCTTTAACCACTTTGGGCAAGTGGGAAGCGTGGAGTTTAGTAATCAGTTTTGAATCCTCTTCTCCCCTGCGTGTTTGATCATCTGGTTCTTCACTAAAGCTGGGGAACAAAGACCAAGAAAGGGCTCCCACCCAACCCCGCCCACTCCCAGCCCCACCCACTCCCCAGCTCCGCCCACTCCCCAGCTCCGCCCACTCCCCAGCTCCGCCCACTCCCAGCCCTGCCCTCACCACATTCAACAGAAAGGCATACTGGGGAGGTTTTTTTTTTTTTTTAAGTTGTCAGTTGGGGAGGGAAATAAACAAGGCAGACTAAACCATCTAATAGTAATGATGAAATTATTAATCAGAATGGAAATGTTATTATACAGCAATAGGTTAAAGAAAGTGAAAAATAAACAATAAAATTCAATCAGGCCATTAAACAAATTGTTTTCAGAAAAAAAAATAGAGCTAACCTAATATGAGACACTTCTTAGTAAAATGTTGAAGTGGAAGAGGGGATACCAACTTTAAGAGCAAAGCAGCCAGAGGAAGGATTGGGACCAAGATGTTTCATTCACAATGAAAGCAGAGGGTAGAAAAAGAGAGTGGAGGAGCCGTGTCAACAGAAGAATCGGAGTGCGTTCAGCCCCCGAACTACTAACAACACAAAGCACCTACGGCATTGAACACAGGCCCCCAGGGCCTCTAGCACAAGAGCTTTGCTGGTGTGGTTTTGTAAGCTTTACATTTTTAAGTTTAACTTGGGTACAATTTCTTAGTTAGTTTACAGTTTGATAGACCATTATTGTGAACCCACTCATGTCTCCACCATTCTAATCTGGCCATGAGATAGGGCTCTCACCCCAGAGCTGGTTCATCACTCCCGTTCTCCAGAAGAAGCCCCTGTTTAGCTATCTGCCATCATGGACCCGTTCTCTCTCTCTCTCTCTCTCTCTCTCTCTCTCTCTCTCTCTCTCTCTCTGTGTGTGTGTGTGTGTGTGTGTCTGTCTGTCTCTGTTTCTCTGTCTCTGTCTCTCTCTCTCTGGAAGGGCACATGGCACATAAGGTCATAAAATATTTTTTTTATCTCAGCATCATTCACTTATTTAATATTATTATATTTATGACTTGTATCTGTTTTAGGCAGGAGAGGAAATTTGTTTATTCTCACTGATTTAGAACACTTCATGTTTCCATAGTTAGTTTATATAACTGTAATGCAAATAGGCATTTATATGGCTTCCAGTCTTTTGCTAGTAAAGATGACATTGCTATGAACATTCTTGTGTATATCTTTTGGTATCCATATGCATTTCCTTGGGTCTATTCCTAGGGGAATGGGTGAATCATCTGGTATAATATGTTAGCTCTAGGAGACACCAGATTCTTTTCTCAGAGGCTGATGTACCTGGTAACCTTCATACGAACAGTGTGAGATCCTTATTGTTTCACATCTTCAGTATCATCAATTTACCTCTGATGTACAGCAAGTGGCTTGAACCGAATTGTGACTTAAGTTTGGACCGCTGAATTTGCATATTTTCCAAAGTTTTTTTTATTTGTGAAGAGATATTTAATTATTCTGACCATTATTAATTTATTATCTATTGTTGCTTTATATAAGAAATCCTAACTATTCCAGATGTAAGAGGTGTTTGTATACATACAAAAGAGTGTTACATGTATGTGTGTGCAGATGCAGTGTGTATGTCTGCTTGTGCAGGCACAAGGTTTATGTCAGATGTCTTCCTCAATTTCTATCCACCTTATATATTGAGGCAGGTTCTCTCTCTCTCTCTCTCTTTCTATATATATATATGTTTATATATATACACACACACACACATACACACACACATACTTTTTTTTCTTCAATACAGGGTTTCTCTGTGTAACAGCCCTGGCTGTCCTGGAACTCACTGTATAGACCAGGCTGGCCTCAAACTCACAGAGATTCACCTGCCTCTGCTTCCCGAGTGCTGGGATTAAAGACATGCGCCACCACAGCCCAGCTGAAAATAGTATATATTTTCATTAATTCTTTGAGAATTTGTATTTGATCATATTCGCCCCCTCACTGTTTCCAGATCTAATCCCCCTCCCTATCCACCCAACTGTGTGCTTTTTTTTTTTCTTTTTTGAACCCACTGATTCCAGTTTGTATTATCCAAATACTCCTGAGTGCGGGCCCTGCCCTGAAGCATAATTCACCTACCAGGAGTCACACCCTTAAGGAAAACTTGCCCTTCTCCTCCCAGCAATTATCCATTGCCAATACCTCCTCAACTAGGGATGGGACTTCGCGCCACCGTCCCCCCTCCATGCTGGGATTTCGTCCGGTTTGAGCTTGCACAGGTCTCATGCATGCTGCACAGTCACTGTGAGATCGTGCACACAACTACCCTGATGTACCCAGAAAACACTCTCTCAGTAGTCACTCACCACCGCCACTGGCCCTTGCAATCTTTCCACTCCCTCCTCTGGAATGACCTCTGAGCCTTCAGGGCAGGAGTATGGTAGAGATGTTCCATTTAGGACTGGATGAACACTGCACCGTCTCTTATTCTGGAGGAATGGCCTCTGTGCAAACTTGGAGCTCACCTGCATTTTTATATGGTTCTAGGGATCCAAACTCTAGTCCTCACACTTAGCAAGTCCCCTTACCTGTTGAACTATCATTCCAGCACTGGAATCTATACATTATAAAACACCTCTCCTTCTTGCTTTTTGTTTTCTAAACAATATTTTAATTAATTCTTTGAGAATTTCATACAATAAATCTTGATAATATTCACCCCTAGTCTCCCCGCCCAGTTCCGATCCTCTCACTCTCAGAATCTTTGCGCCCCTTCTTCTGTGAGGCTCTCTGAGCTTTACGTAGGGGGGTTGTGTTGTAAATGCATTAATTGGGGGAAGGCACCCTACAACCCATTGATCTCTGCCTTTTGACCAGCTGTGGCCTTCACATTTTCTCTTACTTGTGAATCTGAATCTATAGATGCAAGTATATAACATGAAGTCATTGTAGATATCAGGAAAGTAAACAGGGGTCCCAGCATGAGTAGTACTGGAGACGGTAATAGCGGACACAGTTGCTATGAAAGGGAAAATGGGTGATGGAGAGGGGAAGGTGGAGCGGGGAGGGAGAGCAAAATAGAGACATGGAATGAAGGGGGAAATAACACTAAGGATGCTTGAAAAAGTCATTAGGAATTATAATTTTATGGTTACTTAAAATTAATATATGCATACATATACACATATATGTATTAGTTATATATATTTGTATTTAAACTTTGTATTATATAATATATATTAGTTAAAGTATATGTTATATATACTTTTAAAGTACATTATAAGTTTATCATAAGTTTAAAGTACATATATATACCATATATATATTTAAACTTTGTAATATATAATATATATTAGTTAAAGTATATGTTATATATACTTTTAAAGTACATTATAAGTTTATCATAAATTTAAAGTACATATATATACTATATATATATATATATTATGTATACATTAGTTGAAGTTATACCAGTTGGGGTGACAATGCTTCCCCCAAAACCAGAGATGTATCTAACAAAAACCCCAGTGCCAGGCATGGGAAGCCTTCTTTCTAGTTTTTGCTGGGGAGGGGGTTGCAAAACAATAAAGGTGACTGCCATTTCTTTTGTTATCTTCCAGGAAAAGAATGTTAGACTGTTGCTAAAGACACCAGACACTTAGGACACGGGGCTTTGGGAAATTGATCTGAGTCTGACCTGGAGGCCTCTTTACTAAGGACTACCTCTCCGTCTTGCAAGCGTCCTGCAAGCTGTCGAGGGAGAAAAGCACCCAACAGTTCTGCCCAGCTGTGATGTCCATGTGCCACACTAATGACCAGTGCGGTCGACTGTCCCCAAAGATGCAATAGTGGCACTCACGTCCTGGGCGTAACCAAGAGGTGGCCACGTGCACTTAATGCCCACTCAACAGGAAGGGATTTAGGTCTGGTACTCTAAACCTGTCCAACTGCTCGGGCTGGAGAGGCCAGGGAACCTGCAGGAGAACCTCTTATTGCCTGTTTCCGAAACCAGTATAATCTCTAACTGAATTCTAAATCCTTACCCTTAATTGAAGATAAGTATAGCTCCCACTCCTTTTAAGTTTCTTAATCATATATTTTGTTTTGTTTTTTTCACGAGAAGTTCTTAATTTCAAGAAGACTAATTTCTTAGTCTTTCATTTTATGGTTCGTGAGTTTTATATCATGTTTAGATGACCAACCCTCAGGCCATGAGGCTGTTTTTCTGCTTCACATGATACAAGCTGTATTGTTAAACTTTTCCCATTAGGTCTAAAATCCATCTGTAAATACCTTTTAAAAAAATAGTGTAAGATACGGCCAAATTA